GCGGAATGTGTTTTTCTTCTGACATTGTCTAAATAGAGCATGATTTGAAATTCTGTGCGTTCTTTCTCATAGAAATGCAGCCAGAGCTCTGCAAATAGGAATGTCTGGTTTCATACAAGCTTTAATTACATTTGGTCTTTTTCCATCCTGCATATTTTGTGTGTGTTCAGCACATGCCTTTCCTAAAGGCTTTTTTTTTTTTTTTTCTTCCCTTGCAGCGTACGCTACGGCACACAAAACTATAATTCTTGCAGCGTAAAGATTACCGTGCTTTTGGAATAAGATCGACGTATAGGTTACTCTGATCGTGTCGACAGAATGCAAAGAAGGGGTTTGAAACCCGGTTAGTTAAGAAGTTCTGTAGATCGTGCTGGTTTTTGTTCCGTGTACCAAAAAAATCCTTGCCTGATAATTTGCAGTCCTCATTATCCATGGGAAATGCATTGACAATGAGCTCTCTCTGTAATTTCTACTGACTGAAAAATATACGATAGTTCTGTCAGGGAAACGCTGGCCATCTTTTCCTATTATGAAATAGAGTCTAAAGCCTGTGTGCTGGTGAATGCAATCGGAGCTGACAGCTCACAATTCTGCATGAATTCTCTATGAAGAAGTTTCACGTGGAAATACAAGTATTGCGGAAGATTGTGCTAATTTTAAGTCAACATCGGTTGTGAGATGCTGGAGGCAGGGGCAAAATCATTATATTTACTTTCTTTTTTGCAACCGTATTAATTTAAAGAAAAATCTCCCTTTTGAAGTATCTGTTGCAGAGCTGTGAAATCCCAGAGCTGTTCGTTGCGTTTGAGAGCGGCTGGCTGCTGTGAGTGTGTGCTGGTAGACATCAAGGAATGCAGTAATTTGATGCAGTAAAAGTTGTTTTACAGAAGTCCTGGAAAACTTAAGCTTTCGTGCATAAAAATCTGTGAAGGAGACTCATTACAAATGTATTTGCCAAAAAACGTCTTAAATAAATTACAAATATAATACACTTTGACTGAGGTTTCGGAACCTGGGAATCAATGTGCTTTTATGCTCCCCATTCAATTTAGTTACATTTTTCTGCTGTTCACAGATTGCATTTCAGTAGTCTCAAAGCAAAAACGTGATGCTTTAATACTATATGAACCTCTTATATGTTTTAGCATTCAGGCAGGAAAGCTGAATGTGTTCTTCCTCTCCCAAGATCGTGCTGTTTTATTCAAAGCAGGCTGTTTATGCAAGTGCCCACTGGTTGCAGTACACCTTAATTCTGTTTCTCAGTACACAAGAGCAGGAGGGAAAGCACCGACAGAACCAAAAGAAAGAGCACTGAAGCAGAAGAGACTAAAAAAAAAAAAACCATGTCCAAGAATATATTCCAGATTGAGTTACAGAATATCTTGATGCAACTAGCAGGGGGAAAATAAATAAATAAATAAATAAATAAAAAACTGACTTGAACTTTATGGATACTGAAAAAAGCTTCAAAGCAGTAAGTTGTATCCCTTAAAAGACTGCAACCCTATGAGTCTTCATGGGGGAGGTCTTAATGCATATAACAATTTGGGGAGAGCTCTGCAACAGTAGCCCAAAAAATTTCAACTCTGTCTTCAAGGAAAGCTGACGTTTTCTGCAAATTAGAGGATGATAATGATCGCTTAGTTACCACCTAAATGCTACGTATAAAGTGGAGAATTCCTCTAGTAGAGATGAAACTCCTTGATACATGACTGTGAAGAGCTGAATACTTTTTTTTTCACTGCTTCTTCTTGCTATCACCTGGGATACAGCTTGGATCCCAACCAATCTGCCTATTCCCACACTGGCAGATAATCTATTATCACTTGGTTTCCAGAGGTAGAAATTAGAGCAGACAGTAGCAAACCTATATAGCATCAGCTGGGAGACTGACAACTAGAGTTAGGCACCCAGAATTAATGGCCCCAAGCACACTATCTCGCATCTCTGTCGGAGGTCCATTGCATGAGAGACTCTGCTCTTATTTGTCCAAAATTTGTTTGTAAAAAAGAATCCAGGTAGTCTTAAAATGAGAGACCTCAACGTATATTCGAGGCTGTGATGTTGAGGCAGAGTAGTGAACAAATTCAAGAGCTGTGGCACGTGAATCTGAGAAGACAAACTTGGGTGAATATGTCTTAGCCCTGAAATATCTTGTAATTTTTTTTTCTATATTTTTGAAATTAACTTTTTTTTTTTTTTTTGCCATAGAACTAGGAATCCAACTGAACATGATTGTAATGCAAAGGGCTTAATTTCCACTGTGAGCTGTTATCACAGCCAAACTGTTAAGTTTACACATTTTCTGAAGTTTCAAAGCCTCTGGCAAATCTCTATAAATTAGCGGATTTAAATTAGCTTTATTAAATGTGCTATTTTAAAAATTTTTAAGAAGCGCAAGCTAAGTTTATATGTGTTTAAGGGAGATTGATTAAATCAATGTAAAGTAGGTTACAGAAGAACAACGTGAGTAAAGTTTTAGAAAGTTTAGCTGGGAAGCTCTTTCTCGAGGTCATGATGAGTGTAATTCACTGGCAACACCCTGCAGGGATTGGCAAACTGGTGCAGGTTGAGAAAGGAAAACATTTTTACATGTATTGAGTCTACACATTTTCAATATTGTGTTCAGGTTAATGTCACATATCGTTTAACTAGCCTCAGAATCATTTCATTCTTACTAATTCCTTGTATTGAGCGGCATTACTGTTTGTGCCTAGATATTTAACCTGCCTGAGTTTGCAGTCCAGTACAGATGGGGCTGGGGCAGAGTGAATAAGATCAGAATCTGGCCACTAATGTCTACCTGTGTATATATACATCTTTTAATAAATTAACTGACAAGATACAAAAAGACAAAACAGTATATTAAACACGGAGTGTATTTCTTCTTTCTGGTATTTTCTGAGTTGTTTCTATCAGTATAATAAAAAGTGGGACTTCTAGTGGTGCTTTTAATTTCCTTTCATGAATGGACAGACTCAAACCTTGATCTTACGTGGTAGTCTTTAATTTTCAAGAGCACTGAACCATGGCATTTTGTATAAAGGAAACATTTAAAAACAGAAAAGGGCAGAAAAAGATGTGACTTCAAGTAAAGCAAATTAAATCTGTTCCTTCCCTAGTATTTGTATCTCGGCCATCCTTGGCATTTGGCCGGCTGTCCTTTCTATATAGAATTCAGGGTTTCAGCTGATAAGAAGTCCATCACCTATATAACATGGCTTTTTTAGCGAATATAAAAATGCACTCTATTACCCAAGCTTTTGACCAAAACACTTCTGGCAATTCAAGATGTCAAAGTGATAATGATAATTACCATTAAATTATTGCAGTGCAGAACAGACACGTTAGATTTGTTACTCTCTGTAAATAATAGATATTCTTATGTAAACCATCTTACTGGTTTTGACAATGCGACAAACACTTTATTACAGTCGCTCCATTCTCATCGTCAGCAGGTAGTCACGTACAGCTCTATAAAGACCTATGTGCAGAATTGTCAATGCAGTGCAGAAATGTCAGTTTTTAGGCAAATCTATCAGTGGTGAGATGAAGTGTCTCGTTCCTCCATTCATTACTGGTAGACTATGAGAATAAGCTAAAGAGTTACTGACTCTCTTAAGTAGCTGTGAAATTACCTATGGATTTCTGGATGTGCTGTCAAAGCTCTAGACAGCATTATTGGTTGTGCATGTCCAGGTATAATGGAAAAATGACAAGAAGTAAAAACTGTCCTTGTGTGATTAATCAACGCATTGCTGAAGATCATGTAGCATCCTGGTTAAGCAAAGACTGGTGCGTTACAATCAAGTTACTGAGTTTTTGAAACTCCTGGTTTATAGCAAAAGTGGAAAATTAAACCTTGGTTTTCAATTAACTCTTGTTAATTTTTTATCTCTAAAAATATCTTGGGAAGTCTTGGAGGAAGCATGTGTAGAGTGCAACAATTAGCAATTGTAAAGGTTTTAGTTAGTCATATTGAACTGGAAATCAGTTAGTTCCACCTTCAGAAGTGCTAAGCTAGACACTCCGGAAAGGTTCATCTCAAGACCTTCCCAAGCATTTCTGGAGGTGCCAGGAAATGAACTGTAGTTGTTTTCCAATTCGCTTAAGAGCAGTTAGGGCCGCAGCTCATCCGTACACTTGAATACATCTGCTTCGCCCTCTTCTACTGTTGATAGTTCATCTGTAAGGTTTGTTTTTTGATAAACTCTAACGCTAAATGGTCTTTTATTTGTGTTTAGGACTCCTGCTTACTGAAAGGATTCCGGACTTACATGGACGTAGCTAATCCAAAATGGCTATTGATGCCACTGCCTCTTAGGTTGGTCGGTTGATCTTGGTGTATTTACTCAGGTTCATCAAGCCTGTGAGAGGTTGGATGATGGTGCAACCACGAACACACACAAAGGGACAGAATAGCAGGATTGGTTAGGACTGTGAAAAATCTCCCCTGTAGCCAAATTGGTAATGGCCCTAAACCCATCATGTGCCCGTGCTTTACTGGCGTTTTGTGTCCTTCTCCAGAATAACTTGCGTTGCTCAGAAAGCTGGCAAGTCCCACACGGAGGTGCAGGCATAACCATGCCAG